CTGGTAATGCTGCTGCTTTATGAGCAGAATACACAAATACGCCCGCAACCCGAATGTTCCACAATCTGCTAAGTTCTGGGCAGTCTGAGCACATTCCAGTTTCCTTCCTTGGTATGTATTTTGTGTCTAAGTTCGAGATTCCAGCCCAGCTCTACATGATGATCGGCGGTAACTAACTATTTCGGTGGATGGACGAAATCTTGCACCACCTGTACATGCACACAAACGAATGAAGTATCAAACCCCGCACCCCCTACTTAACATTAGCAGCTCGGGGTGCAAGATTTCGGTCATTTGAGCAAATGCCTGTAGGAAGCCTTTCCCAAGCCCAATGTTGAACAAATGGGGGGCGCGGGGAATCGCTGAAATGACGTTCACGAAAGCTGGTGAAAGATTCTGTCCATTCAGGGTTATAGAGTACTTGTTCAGAAACTTCAGGTAAATTACCATGATCATGGGCCCGTACAGCCCTAAACCCTTATGGTGGCCCGTGTAGAAATGCTACTCGGATTAATCAGGCCCACGCATTACGGGTTGTGCCCTCATATTGAGCTCTACCTTAAGAACACCAAAACCCACTTTTTTGTAGGTTCTTATTATAAACCATTGGATTTATAGGGACCCTACAAAAAAGTAGGTTTTGGGTTCTTAAGGTAAGCCCTAAACCCCCATACAACCTACAGGGCCCATGCTGCCCAGGATGGGGCGGACCTTTCGCCCTTCGGGTCGGTCGTCAACGGCCCTAGCCTCGACGGAAAGATAGAACTTAAGAGCCCAAAAAGCACATAAGTATAAGCATGTTATAGGGATATTGGGCTTCATTATAAGGGGGTGTATATGGGATATCCCTATCCTAATGTTTGCTTATGTGCTTTTTGGGGGCCCTAAGAACACGACTCCGAAGATCTGTGCCTTAACCATTCAACTGGAATAGGTTTTGGGGGCGTCTTAATAGGATAGGGCCTCAAGCACTGGCTGCTGCGTGGGGTGGAACGGGGTTCGGTTCGGGTTTAGGGGTTCAGGCTTTAGGGCGTAATCGTTTAAGGGTTCAGGGCTTGTTTGGTGGAAGGGTTGACTGGCAATAATATGGGAACAGGAATACTCTGCAGTGGCTAGAGTTGTTAAGTTGCAAAATAAAAGGAACTTGACGAAGCTGGGCATCGGCGTATGCAAAAAGCGTCAAACCCTATTCCAATTACTTGGGCGCTTTCTTACTTTCTAATTGCAGCGGGTTTAGGCAGACTTGGGCAACGGCAACCTGCGGAGGTAGGGCTTTGCAGGTCTGTGACGCTTGAACCAACAATAGTGGCTATAAGTTTCCTTAAGAGGAAGTTCTTAATAGCAGCGTCTAGCGGCCATGATAGGAATAATGTTCGTGCTCGTAGTTTTCTTTCAGAACACTGGAGCCTCGGAAGCACTTCACCCATAAGTGGGGATCCCAACGGCGAATGGGGTTACGCAAAGAATCTAGCATGCATGGCCCAGTGTGCGGGGAGGGGTGTTGCAAATTTAGAAGTGTATCACATTGCAGATGACACATGCATAAGAGAACATGTTGGAACCACCAGTTCACATCTCAGCATCATGTTGGTACTGCGGCCTGTCGGACCGTGCTGAGCATGGCCTATTCGATCATGTGACAGAAGATTGAAATCTTGAAACTTCAATCTCCCCAACATTCAAGCAGCCGACTGGACCCAGGTTTTTGGACGCCAACGAGCGACGTCGACGTTTGTGTGCCTTAGCTCTTTACGTGACGTCGGTCTGGCAACCCTAAACCCAAAACCCTAATCCCTAAACCTCTATGTTCGTTGCACTCAACTTGCAAGCCGCTAGAGCCTGCTAGAATCACGTAGAGCCCTGAACGATATCCCGAAGTTTAACATCCTGAACCCTAATTCGTGAACCCGAACCCACAACCTCAAAAGGGAAAATCCTCGAAGCCAAAGACCGATGGCCTCCGAGGTTCGTGTTCCAGGACACCCGGCGCCCATGTTTGCAATGGGTGTCCTCTGGAATTGACGGTAGGGTTTGGTTAGGGTCCAGGTTTTCCTCCAAATTGCTGAAAGAACTACGGTTTCGTGCTTCATGTTCACGACCGTTTCGGACGCGAGTTGGTATTTTTGAGCTCATTGGTCCTCGCCAGAGACACATAGCAGCTGCCTCTCACCCACCTGCCTGTCTGTGTTCACTGCGTGATTCCTCTTGCGTCCGGGATCTGAGCCCTTTGGCCTCTGTCCGAAGCCCGGAACTCAGCATCCCTAGCCCTATGCATCCCTAATCTAGGGGCCTAAATAGTTACCAATACTTTTTTGGGGGGTCCTCGTTATAGTTATAGTATAATGGGCCCCAAAATTCTGTTCTAATTATTAAGGCCCCTATGTTACGGCTAATGCCCTGCATAAACCTGATGCTGTCCAAACCCTGAGGCTTTGTGAAGCCCACCCGTACAATCCTAAGCATCAGGAGCTTGTGGCCGTATAGATTAGGAGCGTTGCGGTTGATGGTTTCGGGTGATCTGAACCGTATCACCTAAACCCTAAACAACTGCCCAAATCTGAGCTTCGCTGTCGCTAAGCCTTTATGACCACGGTCTACCCTGGCTTTCCCAAACCCAGTAACTAAGTTGGCGATGGTTCAGGGTTTACTTAGGGGTTCATATAACACCGGCCTTGCGAATTAGAATAGGGTTTCTGGCTGTGTTCTCGTTCTGTAACACTATGTAGGAAGATCGGAGATATTATTGCCTAAATCTAAAGCCTAAAACCCCATACCCTAAAACCGAAGCCCCAAAACTTAAACCCTAGACATGTTGACCACTGATGAGTAAACCCCCTTTCTACATTATGTCGTATTCAGCAGGAGCTTCCACTCGGAATGCTCAGATCCAAGTGCCTCTGCCTGGACTTCATGGGGCCCTTGATCTCGTGGGGGGGGGGAGGGGCCTTTCATGCAATCCATTGGCTGTGGCTTTGAGTGGGGTTGGGCAGGTTTTTCGGGAGTTGGAGCCAGGCTTTTTTGTGTCCTGGCCATATCATATTGCTAAACCAAAAACAATATCACATGGTGAAACATGTAAAAAAATAACAAAAGGCATGTGCTGGTTTGGAGTCTTGTATTGTGTCGGATGTGAGCAGCGCCCCAAAGCCATCACGCTGAGAACCCCGGGGCAGCTAGCATAGGGGCCTAAATCCAATACTGTTGTTAAATTTCTAGTAAAATTCTAATTATTAAGGCTCCTACATTATTGCAGCCGAAAAGACCTGAACGTCTCAAGGCCCTGAACACCCGAGATCTATCGGAGCTTGGTGATGGGCTCGTCATCCCGTCCGCAAGGTCTTGCGGCAAATTTCTGCCGAACTGACCAAGGACAGGGGCATCGAATTGTGTTCTAGGCTTTCGGTTTTGGAGTTCAGGGCGCATCCTCAATTCCTAGGCCCTGAACACTTCTTCATTCGTATACGTGTGATCCGTCAGGCGGGGGAGATCATGACGACCCTAAATCCTAAACCACACCTGTAGCCGAAAATTAAAAGGATTCCTTATTAGGGTTTCTAGGTACAGTTCCTTAAAAAGGTAGATCCTTCCGGCTACAGGCAAGCCTTAGAAGGACATGAACCCGAAGCCCCTCTTCGGACTTTGCAGTAGACGCCCAGTCTTAGGGTCTGGACCCCAAGCCCAACGCCCTCCACCCGGGGGCCTCGAAGCTCTACATGTTCAAACGCTGCAGCCCTCATGAGCTCTTAATTCTATACGTCCATGATTTAGGGTTTAGGGTTTAGGGTTTGGGGTTTAGGGTTTAGGGTTTAGGGTTTAGGGTCCCTACGATGCCCCCAAAACGACCCAAACCCGGAAACCCGAATGCCCTAAGCTCCAAAATGCCAAGGCCCCTAACACCCCTAGCGCGACCCTGAACTGAACCGGCCATTACAGGCTTACCATGAGGTGACTTTGGGGTTACGATACCGATAAACCCTAAACCCTGCGGCCGCAGGGTTGTTCCAAGGGTTGCCTTTTGGCTACGGCAGGCCAAGACCCACTATGTCGAAGCGAGGTTCGGGGCCCAGGCGCGACGGGAGGTTTAAAAGCTTATGCGGTTCTCTTTGTGGCTGTCAAGAGCCGTAAGCCGTAAGACAACTACCAAAATTGTATAGCGCTCATGGTTTCATAATGATACGAGTGAAAAGAAACGGATGGGAGTGTATGATAATGCTTGATTCTTGCTGTTAGTCGGACTGTTACTGCAGGGCTTACCTGCTTCTCTCGCTTACGTGTGGCCTGCTTTAGGCTTTAGGGATCTTTGTGACATGTAGCGCTACAGTGAAACTCCTATAGTTCTAGCGGCAAGGACGGACTTACAGGCAACTTGGACATCCACGTAATGAATTTCATCGCCGCGCCGATTGCTTCGCGTCCTCTTCGAGAGTATAGAGTAAGCCCGCACACGCTGTGGCAGCGGAGGTGCCAATCCTGCATTGGGCTCCACTTCGGTGGGTGCCTAAGTGATCTGTGCGCGGCGTGTGGACTCTGCCGGGGCTCCCGAGCACCTGCCACTTGCAGCTAGGCCCAGCTAGGGTCAGCGCCCTGACTCGAAGCCTTCCTTCCAACCGATGAGCTCATCATGCTCATTCCCGAGCCTGCACGAGAAGAATGCCAGCAGCAACAGCAAGAACAACGAGAACGCAACAACAGCATCAATACGAAGTGTTCGTGTTTCTACCAGCTGCTCACTAGTGCTACTGCCTCAACGACCGCAGCAGCAACACCGGACAACAACAGCAGCAGCAGCAGCAATTACAATGGCTTGCGCTCCTACCAATGCGACCACTGCTGCCGCCACACCAACGACAATGACACCAGCATCGCCGCCACCGCCAGGTTCCAAACATTAAGCCCTTGGCCCGAAACTGGGTGCTCCCTGGGACCGGAAAATCATGGGCAATTAAAACATGTGTATTTGGGTCAAGGATCTTCAACCGTAAAAGCCATGCAGGCCCGGCATGGTTTCCTGCGACATCAGCGTGAACAATGTCCTCGCGGTAGTGAATTCCAGGCCAGTTCGGGGAGGAGTTTGAGAGTTAAGCTTCAATTTAAAGGCATTTCTGTGAGGTTTTGGTTTTAACTTATTCCAACGACAGCAGAGTCTACTCCAAAACAAGACTGCGATGTCGCTCTTGTCATCAAGCCTTCGACGGGCAGGCTCGTGGGCCACTACGTGCGGCTGGACGATCGCGTTCGGACGTTGGGTCTTTGTATCAAGGCTGGCCGGGGGGGGCTTCGAACTACGAACTCCGTTTTGGAGTTTAGGGATTAAAGGTTCACGGGTTAGGTGTTTTAGGGGACCATTTCAGGAGTCTTCTGACTTGTGCATGAGAAGAGGTTTTTAGGGTTCACTGTCTAGGCAGTGTTGGGCTTAAGGCGTGTGGACTTAAGGAGTTAGTGATGAGGCTTGTCTGGCATTAAATTCCCATGTTGGAAAATGCAAAGCGGTAAATGGAGAAACTCAAGCGAAGCAGTAAAGCCTTCAGTCTTCTGAAATCCCTGTGTTGTTGTTGTTGCTGCAAAAAACCACATGTGTGTCTTGCAGCAGGCTGTCTCAACGCAGGAGAATGCCATGTGGGGCCTGGATATCACCCAGAGCTTTGAGCCTGCAGACTCTCAACCCTTTAAGGCCGCAACCTCGAGCTCCACAGCCCTAGTCAAGTCCTTTAAGCCGTAAGCCGTAAGCCCCAAGCCCCAACCCTGAAACCCCCACCCAGAGCCCAGCCGTGCAAGCAATCAATGACAAGGCCTGGGCTGCAGCTCGCCGAATCAACGATCGAAGCCGTGCACTCGATCCACTCAGACACAAGGGCCCTGTCAGGATTTTGGGGTTTGGGCTTAGGGTCTTTGGCATGATGAATCAGGGCCCGGGTTGCCAAGGGACATGTGTGTTTTAAGACTGTTCACAGTCTGGGAGCTGCATTCTTTTGTCATAAGAGCTTGCTGAGCGGCATGGAAGGATAGACCTGACTCTAGCAAGGTCTGCTTGCCTGTTTCCATCACCCAACATGTTGTTGTGTTGAAACCAGTGAAAGACTGCTGTTCCCATGAAGCACGTCAAGCTCTTGAAAGACATGCGCGTTGTGGAATGATCTCATCCCACCGCCCTACCCTCTTCGAAGTTCTTTTAAACACCGGGGAAACCCAGAGCGAAATCCCGAAGGACAAGACCTCTGACGAAATCTGCTAAACCCAAGGAATCCACCCACAAACATGCGGGCAACTGTCAGCATTGAGGGCTGTGGTTTGCTAGATCTAGGTTCAGAGTGTCTAATCGGGGGTTGAGTCATGGCTTTTCGGGTCGCTAGGGTTATTCAGGGAAGCTCTAGGATACTGGGAAAAAGGCGTCTTGGGGCTTAGACCTTTAAAATTGGGTCTGAGAGCTGAGGGGGCAGGGTTCGGTCGCAGGGAGGGGAAATGTGTGAGGTCAGGGTTTTGTTGTTCCCGTTCATGCTTAAGTGGGTTGTGGAGCAGAGCGGGGACATAGGTGGGACTTGAGCGGGTCGGTGCCTGGGTCGCTATGCAACTTAGCAGAATCTCTTGAGGTGTAGCTTGTTGCACAAGCGCTCTTCGGTTGATCACACTGTTCCCCCTATGCTGAAGGTCGTGGGACGATCTCATCTTTTGCTTTGGTCCACGGCCAAGTTGTTGATGAGACTCCTACTATTGGGGCATGATTGAGATGCCACATATAAAGAATAAGGCACGTTAACATAACCTACCAGTATTGTCATGTACTAGCAATATAATATGCCAGTAACGTACCTGTTTGGCTTTGTGAACCCTCGACTTCGACTTGCTCTTCATTTGGTGCTTTAGCAACGGTCCACAGATGTCGTCGGTGTCAAGGTATTGATGCTGATTCATTTCCTTCAACGTCGGGACCCACCGGTTCTTCCATCTTTGCAGGTGGGCTCGTGACAGTATTGTGTCATCTTGGAAAACCCAAGCGGCTTTGTTTCCAATGTTCGCCTACGTGCATGTTGAAGTTTCAGCGTATGTATGCTGTGCTTGCATTTATGTAACTTATGTACATACAGGTACACATGTACCACGACACGGAAGGCTCAAGGATACGAAGTGCTCGTGACAGGACATTGCTTTCAGCCAGAATGAGAAGCCGAAGTTTGTCAACGGTGTGGACTGCCGGCCAGCATCCCAGGAAAGTCTGGCAGTCGAGTCCTTCAAAGGGGCCTCACCTGATGCAAAGGTTCTGCACTGATGCTGGCAAAATCCGGGAGGAGTTGGCATACTTGCGAGGTGCACGTTCGCCTAACGAGGCCGGCAGAGCTTGAAACCCAAAACCAAATATTTATATACATATATATATATATATATGCATACTGGAGTCTAGATGATAGATTACATTAACTACATTTCACTATGTGGCATATCATCCCAAGCTGCACAACCACTGCATCTTTCCACGGGGACAAGCCCCTAAACCGATCTGAAGAAAGACCTGTCGCCCGGCCAGCGTACCCTTTGGCAGGAAGACGTAGCAACCTTGCTCCTCGAGTTTTTTCGATACTTCGGGAAAGATTACCGGCCTGGGACTCATCAGGGTTTAGAAGTTTAGGGTTTAGAGGTCAGGGCTGGGGTTTGGGGGTTGTTGAGGGTTTAGGGCCGTTTAGGGTCTGCGATGGGCTGCAGTGAGTCATTCGTGACCGTTTCTTTGAAGCATCCTTTCAGGAGCATGATCATGGCAACAATCCGAACCAGATCTACCAACACCTACCTTAATATCAATGGTTGTGCACGGACGGTTGATCGTATTATCCGTAGTAATGCTACGGCTGCTCCTGTTGACACTGTGACAAGATCTGCGGTGATGGCCACGACGACGACAACTAAGACCACCACCGCCTGCACCCCCTAGTAGGAAGCCTGTAATAAAGCAAGCTGGCTAGCATGCGGTAGTTGGTAAGGAGCGGCATCATCCGAATCCGGGACACTCGTTCGATGCTGCCTCCTGGTGACGAGCCGGTACCTTAGATAATATGGGGCCTAAAGAATTACCTATATCGTCTTGGGGGTTCCTTGTTATAAGTATAGTATAATATACTCCAAAGCCCCCTACATTAGCTTTTGCCGAGCACGGCCCAGGTGCCAGTTGCATTCCTCGAGGGTGTGGGTGAGTATACCTGGAAGGGGAATGTTTGGCACATCGCCTACGGGTATGTGTGCATGTGTGTGTATATGTAATATGCATATACATATATACATGTATGTATACATACACACATACATACATACGTACGTACATACATGCATACATACATATCTGTATATATATATATATATATACATACACATACTTATACACATATTGCTGCTGCTGCTGGTGCTGGTTGTCGTCGTCGTCGTCGTCGTCGTCGTCGTCTCGTTGTCGTTGTTGTTGTTGTTGTTGTTGTTGTTGTTGTTGTTGTTGTCGTCTCGAGCTGGACAGACAGAACGTTCCACCAGCTGCATGCTCCCACCCAAATGCCAGTGCTTTGAGCCGGTTTGCTTGGAAAGCCGTGTGATGCACTTGGCACACGCGAACACACATGAAGGGGCACAGATGGAGGAAGACAGACACAGACATAGTCAGGCAGGCATTACAGGGCTCCACACCTGAGGACCAAGTGCTTTTTGGTCGTGGACAACCCCTTCGAGGCATCCGTGATCGTAGTGACCACACCGAAAGCAGTGGTTTTGATTACGCTGCACCGCTTTTCGAGGAGGGCAAGCATAGCCTCAATTTCATTCCGGGCTCCCAAATTGCACCGGCAGCGAGTTGGAAGTTGGAAGCACTTCTCGCCACTCGCGTGAGGTCGGCAAAGACGTGGCAAACATCGATGCCTCTCAGCAGAGTGCTCTCCGAAAGGACCGTAGCATTCTGCTTTCGCGTGTTGCCCCACGTTTCTGGTTTGCAAAAAGCCTGCAGATACAGGTATGTGCTGTCCATGTCATGGGCCAGATGCCCCTAAAGCTTCGCAGGAGTTCCGGCGAGCGTGGAGCTACCTCAATCAGGCAAGTGTCACGCTTCCAGTGCAGAGCAGACTGAAAGTATCCCAAGGTCTTCCAGTTTCGGGTTTAGGGTTTAGGGTTTAGGGACTAGGGCTGGTCTGTGCAAGGACATGAGGCTTTTGCTCTGCCGCCACATAGACCTGCACCTTATTCGATTGCCGGCGCTTGCAAGCATGCTTCGTTTGATCATGCGCAAGCGCTGCAAGCCTGAACCCTAACCGCCGGGTCCTAAAGCCCCCAACCCCAAGCTCTATACCGTCAACGTGCTAAACCCTAAACTCTAAACCGTAAACCCACCCAAGCTCCAGACTCGTCTTAATGTAGGGGCCTAAATAATAAGAATAGGGTTTGGGGGTATATTATACTGAGCCCCCCAAAGCCCTATTCGAATTATGAACCCCCCAACATCCTACCCTCATAGTAACCCTTATAGAACCCTTTTAAGGAACCCTTAAAGGAACCCCCAAAATCCTAAACCCTAAACCCTAAACCCTAAACCCAAAGCCCCTAAGCCCCTGAACCCTAAACAATAAACCCTAAACCCC